TATGCCATGCAGCCATGGACAGTTGCAGCTTATATGTGGAACTTTGAGTCAGGGCAACAACGTGTTGATTTTTTGGATAGAGTGTGCAATTTGAGACGTACACATTGCAATGAGGATGTTGTTCAGTTTTGTCAAAAATTGAGAGTTCTGATGAAAAGCCTGCAAACAAACATACATTTTTGCTTTCCGGGACTTCTGCGCAAAGACACAAAAAAATTATGAAGAAACATTGGACAAACTTATCAAAATTTTTGTAGTGCCATTTTCGGTCCCCGAAAATGGCACGGTCTTTCAAATAATTATCGTTAATTTTATTGAGTATTTGATTTGTTCATACTTTTTTGTGCAGTGAAAAAACTATTGCAACCTGTTCTGTGCGAAACAAGAAGATTTCAATAGTTAGTGTTCCGGCTTTCCCTGTCAGCTTTTCTTATAGATCATTATGTCGCTGATAATATGTTAGCTGTCACTGAAAACATCATACGTTATTGGTTGTTTTGTAAATATATGTCTTTTATTACCTAACTAAGTTCATTCACAGAGCTTTAGTGAGCTTTAATGTCGTAATGAAACGAGATGTTAATGCCGTATATACTGTCACTTCTTGCTTCTCTTTCTTTTGCGTTTCTTTATTATGATGTTGTGTTTGACTCATATTTTGTTAGTGTTACTTTAACCTATCAAATTACAGTTCAGCGACCTTTATGTTGTTTCTTGCTTTCCCCATATGCGTTTAATGTGTCGCGTCTTGAGTGCTAATTTTGGAATCTGAAAGCCACTTTTATGTTAACTTTATATGATAACTGTCCATGTCCGCTTAAAAAGTTCTTCGCTGAGCTGTTCGGTGGTATTTACGGTAAAATTAGCGCTTGCCTTCCTCGTGAAGCATCAACATTTATGTTATCACCAAGTAACTAGGCATTTAGTTTATCATATCTCCTCGTGATTTATTTCTATTTTGCCTGTTAAACTTATCTCATACCTGTAAAAGTTTCAACAACAGAAAACTACTGCTTCATTGTACACGCGAAAAAACAACTTATCACAATTTTTTTCGCTGACTACGTTTGTTTAATGACTTGACGTTTGGTTAAGTTGATAGAAGTTGTTTTTACTCATTTAGCAGAAACTTATTCTAGCAGAACCTTTGTCACTTTCGATGAAAGTTTCCAATCGATGCGTCTTCTTACATCTTTGATGTTTGCAGAATCTTTTTTCGAAACGCTTATTTTCAAAAATAAGGCAAACACATGCAACAAGATAATTAAAGGTTAAATTTGAAGAATAAAATAAAAAAGAAACAGCACAGGCACATGATTGAGAAAATACAAGAATAATTGAGATGAAAACAAGTGTTCGAACGTAAGCGGTTGTGGCTTAGGTTTTTAACGGCCTATTGATTTGAAAAGAGAACAAAACTTTTTTTGGCTCAGGTCGAGGATTGATACTCTAACCCAGGATTGCCAGTGCGCTCCACTACCACTGCACTAAACAGCTGTTGAGTTAACAGAATAGAATAAGCATTTCAATTACTCATAGCAATAGTTAAATCAGTACAAATAACTTAATAAATTTCATGTTTATCCCTCATTGAGATGTCAGTTTTTTCATCTAACGTATGCATTTAATCCAATGCATAATATTTGGGACGTTTTTACTATTAGCCGTTTTTTTTCTGTCATTGTTTCGCTACCTTCCAACGCATTCTCAACATCACCGAAACCAAATACGATACTAGTCGATGATGTCTTTGGCGGGGCATCTGAAACTGGTCTCTGAAGCTAGTTGATCAAAAGTGAAAAGTCCGACACTCTGAGATCATGTAAAGACATGGCGAGAAGGGCTTTGGGTTTGGGGTTCCCAATCTGGCTTGCCAGACACGTCCCCCTGACCGACTAGCGGAGGAGGTTCATACGGATCTGACTCAATCCGTCATATACACTGAGAGACAGTGGAATGACCCGTTGGCCACCGCCAAGGCAGTGACTCCAATAGATCAAAGTTTTTTGTTTCTCTTTGTTTCAATTCGCTCATGAAAAATACTTTTAACTCATCGCACAAAATCTATGAACATTACAGAAAACACTCAGATTTCAACTCTTGTCTTTTTCCAGCCATGCTTTCTAAGACCTCAGATGATTGGTCGGCAAAAAGTAGTGTCTATTAGATATCTGTCTTACCTCAAGCGAATCTGCACAGGACTTGGAAGCAGATAGCTCTAGTTCGATTCCCAGACTGATCCTTCATATCATTAAATGTTTTTCCTATCCTTCCAATAACCCTTCACAAAAAGTTTAATTTCCCACAGTGGGACGACAGAAAAGAGGCCGGGTTGACCCCGGTTCCACAAAGCTATCTTAGTGGAAGGAATTATTTCAAATAGTATCTCGCTAAACCACAGCAATTCTTTCGTCAGTTTCCTTCACTGCCAAACGCAACTTGCAGCAATTATCACGAGACGATACTTTAGTGGGTCATAACTGGTCTTTCAAACCAAACCCGCCGGTTCGAAACTGTGACAGGTCGAAGAAAACTTTTTCTATTACGTTCCTATTAATGAGTATGTTCAGTTCAAACAACCAAAGTGAAATAATCACTTCATCTAACATTCATAACCAGACTCAAATCATTCAATTATTTTCTTTTTCAAAGAAAAACCTCTAACGTTTCTTCTTTTTTATCTACCCGAATTGAATATTCTCAGAAACAATCGAAACAAGAGAGTTCTCTTAAAATGTAAAAACGTTACATAAAATGGAAGCTGATGAGGCAATGGTAATAAAATCACTATTAAACATTCGTCATTGTCATATATCAACATTACTCGTTATAGTTTATTGAAGAAACAGAAAAGAAAATCTTCAGTGTTAGCAATATTTTATATAAGTACATAGATACATCAATCAAGACCTACATTTCACATACATACACAGTTTCATACAATATGCAATAAAACATTCATAATCACATAAATACATACATAAACACATACATACATACATAAATACACACATGCATACATACATACGCCCAATGACACTGATAAGACATCACATTTGTCGTTCAATTTCACTGATAACGTCCCAATTCAACATCAATTTCGTCGTTTGTGGTCTAGTGGTTCTGTCCACTATTTGGTCTCCGTTGGTTGAAGGTCCGTTTCCAAGTCGTAACATTGCTAACATTCCTGTTAAAATGTGTTGTTAAAAACTAAGCATACTGAAATGCTTAAGATTTTAATATAAAATTCATGTTTCAGTGTGTTCCAGTCAATGGACTGGAAAGTGAAAGTAAATCAAAAAACGGAATATAATCTTCTCAGTTTGACTGAAATCGTTTCTTGAACAATACTTCCGCTTCCGCCTAAACAAAAAGCAACGTGGCGCAGTTGGTTAGAGCGTTAGACTCAGGACCGATATGTCTGGCGTTCGAACCCCGGTGTGAGACGATCAGTTAAAATCTTTTTTTTTTCAACACTAATTACATCATAGTCACTTATTATGTGCAAACAGTAAACAACCATGATCCCTGATCGAATCGAACAGAAAACAGTGGTGGAAGCCTGGTTGATCAAGTGCATTGGTAAAAAACACTGGTCGGGTGGGTGGGGACGGTCAAGCACCCCTAGGTTTTTGTAGAAGAATTTGCGGCCCTGGAGGTCGTTTACAGAATGGTCTCAGAATGGCGTTTTTCGACCATGTAGAAAAGTTTCAAGGGACCTCGAAATTCAAAGCTCCTCGAAGTTGGTATAAACTATTCATGTTGATATAGAAATATCAAAATTTAAACAAGAAGGAACCATTCTACTAACCAAACGAACCTAAAGGCGACTACTACATTTTTTAATAAGCAATACTTTTATTTGTGTTTAAAGATATGTACTAATAATGTAGAGAAAAAAGTATTGATAGTGTAACGCCCCTGACATCTCCCCTTCCTATACCTTGTTTTCTAATGTGTACTTGGTGTACTCACGTGCTCTCCTTGTTAGTTTGATAATATCCTGGAGGTACTTTAATTTCCAAGAAAATTGTTCTCAACTCAGCCTTTTGCCATTCAGACCCAATTTTAGCCTCTGGTCAGAGTCCATCGTTCAAAAAAAAGCAAAGAAAATCATCAGCCCAAATTGATTTTTTCAGAAAAACCCATTCATTAGACACTGAATAACTAAAACACAGTTAATTCAATCGAAATGTAGTAGAAAAGAAAAATTATCGTTTTTCTGAGCACTTTTCTCAGTACTGTTTTGCGAAGAACTGTCTGATGGGAAAAACCCAAGTTGTTTCCGCAGAAATTGGGTTCCCCCGTTATGATAATTCTCCGTTGAATTAGTCTCCAAACGCATCGTTTGGTTATAGTGATAGAAACTTTGCAAAAAAATGAGAAAATGACATTTTTTGAATCCGGGCATTATCTTTCAGGGACGTTGAAAACATCAGAAGAATAAATCCAAAAAGACGCACTTGGTTTTTGTAGAAGCATTTGCGGCCCTGGATGTCTTTTACAGAATGGTCTCAGAATGGCGTTTTTCGACCATGTAGAAAAGTTTCAAGGGACGTCAAATTTCAAAGCTCCTAGAATTTGGTATAAACTATTCATGTTGATATAGAAATATCAAAATTTAAACAAGAAGGAACCATTCTACTAAACAAACGAACCAAAAGGCGACTACTACATTTTTAATGAACAATAATTTTATTTGTGTTTAAAGATATGTACTAATAATGTAGAGAAAAAATTATTGATAGTGTAACGCCCCTGACATCTCCCCTTCCTATACCTTGTTTCTAATTTGTACTTGGTGTACTCACGAGCTCTCCTTGTTAGTTTTATAATATCCTGGAGGTTAATTAATTTCCAAGAAAATTGTTCTCAACTCAGCCTTTTGCCATTCAGACCCAATTTAAGCCTCTGGTCAGAATCCATCGTTCAAAAAAAGGCAAAGAAAATCGTCAGCCCAAGTTGATTTTTTCAGAAAAACTCATTCATTAGACACTGAATAACCAAAACACAGTTAATTCAATCGAAATGTAGTAGAAAAGGAAAATTATCATTTTTCTGAGCACTTATCTCAGAACTGTTTTGCAAAGAACTGTCTGATGGGGAAAACCCAAGTTGTTTCCGCAGAAATTGGGTTCCCCGTTATGATAATTCTTTGTTGAATTTGTCTCCAAACGAATCGTTTGGTTATAGTGATAGAATTTGAAATAACACTGCAGTAGCAACAACTGTAATATGCTTTGATTTATAAATACATCACAACATGTCGTGCGGAATGACAAATGAGTCATCTAGGAGAAGAAGACTGTTGGCGTAAGGTGTGTTGAGACAGCAGGAATCGGAGATGGGAGAAAGAGGACCTCCATTGTCGAACACCTCGTTCAAAATTCCCTGCACCGAATCCAAATTATCCTCCAGGCCTGAAAAATGATGCGCGCCAATGCCAAGTTCCCCTGCATGTCCGTTCATTCCATTACTTCCATTTATGGAACACTGAGTGGAACTAATCTTGGACTCCTTAGTAGAGGCTGCTGCGTACTCGTATCTCGCAAAGCAACTCTTCTCCAAAACATATTTGGCCGGATTAGTACTTCGGTGTCCCCCAATTTTTACAGCAGAAGTTGTTGGGCCAGGTTGGAATGCTATGGTTGGCGCAGGCGGTTGGTTCTGGTTCACCACAGTCACTACCGAAGGCATGGACCGGTTGTTCGCGTCCACTAATGTCCTGCAGTTGTTCCCTACTGAAGCAACATTACCAATGCGCTCCTCAAAATCGATCGGCGTTTCCATCCTACTTCGCATATCTATCCACGAGTGCATGCTCGCCGAGCTCCCATCTGTAGTTGCCCTACTTTGAATCGTGTTTATCGAGGGAGTGGTTTGGTTATGGGCCAATTTAGCTGTCGACATAGAGCAGTGGTTGGCGGAAACAACTGTTGCGTCTACCTTATATTGCGTTTGCTCAACAAGAGGCCTGACTTCGGAATGAGTCATTGGACTTGCTTCTCCGGAAGAGATTCCGTTGTTTCCATCTTCCATTTCTTCGTCCTCGTCCTCATCGTCTAGATTGTCGCCCATTTTGGCCGCCGATGTTCCTAAGCCGAAATCATGCTTGGCATGATCGCGCATATGGTCTGTCAGCTCAGATCCATTTGTGAATCTCGTATTGCACAGAAAGCATTGGTAGGGTTTTATCTTCTTATTTAGCATGCGAGTTGAGGGCACTCCGTTACAAATTCGCTCGTGCTTTTTCATGTGCCAAGTCCACGCGAACTCGGCCTTGCACTTTGAACAGACTTTGGGATTTTTGTGAAGCACTTTATGAGCGTAGAGGGTTGTGGGCGAGTTGACGATCTTGTGGCAATCGGGGCACATGGCACGGAAGCGGGATTGGAACGGGGCAACATACGAATCCATTTTAGAGGTGGTCGAATGATTCCTTTTTGCCAGCATTTTGCGAGCAGTCAGCAGCTGCGCCTGGTATCTAGGATCTTTGCCTTTGCTGTCGAGGTTAACTTTTGCAACATTCGCTTGTTTCTTTTTATGGAAAGCATTAATGTGCACCTTCAAATACTTCATACTTTTGAAGCTTCTCAGACACAAATTGCACTGCACTATTTTTTGCTCAGTGTGGGCGTATTTGACATGAAAGGTGAAGCTCTCTTTACAGTAGAATTTGCGGTTGCAGGTGGAGCACTCGAACCCAGCGTCCACATGGCTGTCCTGAATGTGTTTGTTGAGTCTGGACAAGTCGGCGAAGCTCTTCTCACAGTGCATGCAGTAGTGCTTGATGTTGTGCATCTTCCTGTGGATCATGAGGTCTCGCTTACTTCTGAACTTCTCCGCACACTGGTCGCAATCAAGGACCTGCTTCACTTTGCACCTGTGAGAGTCCAGATCCTTCTGGGACCTGGCTATGAAGTAACACTCCTGGCACTTGATGCCGGCACTCGAATGTCTGTAGAGGAAATGTTGTCGCAACATCTGTCGCGTCTGGAACTGTTTGGAGCAGTACTGGCAACTCACTGGGTTCATTGGCGGTTGCAATCTGAAGGCCAAACTCATTAACTCAACTTAGATTTAGCCAGCATCTTTTCAACAATTAGTCATACCAGGTTGGCAATTACTCTTTATATGCTATAGCTCCCTTTTAAACTAATTCAAGTTCAATAGTCTCTTCTTGTTAGAACACTTGATTGAACTTCAAGGTAACCCAGAGAGTAAAAAACGTGACCAAGGTGCCTTATACATACAGAAACTTCATTTAAAATATAAGTACACTTGCTCAAATGCTTAATAGAATACAGTGCTGTTTAAATTATAAGAAAAAATTTAACAAAACTTGAACTTTTGAACACGTTTTTCTCAAATTGGGTTCAGATTCTCAACCAAAATTTTACCCCAAAAATGGGTCATTTTGGCTTTTTTCAATTAATCAAGAACTACGCAGAAACTACTCTGTTAATTGATGAGAAATATATATCACAAGAATCCTCTTACCCAGCCTTAAATGTGTTCTTGAAGGGTTAAATCTCCAAAAACTTGAGTAAATTGTTAAAAAGTTGTTTTTAAGAAAATATTTTGGGTTTTATACAGTAAAAATCACATTTCTTGTCTATCAAGCCAAAATATTTTCTCTTATACAGGTTTTTGGAGATTTAACCCTTCTAGAACATTGTTGGGCTGTGTAAGAGGCTTCTTGTGATATATATTTCTTATCAATTAACAGAGTAGTTTCAGCGTAATTCTTGATTAATTGAAAAAGCCAAATTTTGGTTGAGAATTTTTTTTTGGGGGGGGGGATTAATTCTGATGAAAGTCTGAGCAAATTTAGTTCTCTTCACTTTTTGTCTAATCTTAACCCAATTTGAGAAAAACCTCTTTGAAAATTGTTCGTTTTGTCCGGATAATTTAAACATAGAGGCTACGTTGCACTTCACATAAACAAGCAAAAATATGACCGATAACGCTACTGGGAAAAACTGTTGACAAAATTTCTCAAGTGACGCACGCCAATTATGAGTCTACATAGTTGCTAAGTGACGCACGCCAATTATGGCGCATTAACAATACCAGTCAATTTGAAAAAAAAATAAATCTACCAACTAACATGCCTCAAATTATAGAGCGGACGCATTTTAACTAGTATAGCAAAAAGTTCATTAAAAACATCCGCTCCTGACCAGGTTCGAACCCTCTTATTTTGCTGCTGGTCTTCTTCCCTACCTCTACGCTACAGATCCCTGATACCTTGAAGCTGAAGTGCTATTTGTAATATAATAGTCTGTGTTAATATCCTTAGCATTACTTAAATATCCTTAGCATTACCTTAGCATCCTTGGCTGTACTTAATAGCTGGATCAAAATGAGCACTTTCAAAATGAACATTTTGTCGCAACAATTGCATCGCAACAATATTTCGACTTAGCTTGGAAAAAAAAGAAAGTTCATAGTATATCACAAGCTATGCTTGTGTAATCAGCACTGCAGAACCGAATTCAAGCTATTGCACAAATGAAGCTCGTAGCATAAAATTCGGAATTAAACTCAGTGAGTCAAACTATTGGTGTTTGTTTGTTTAAGCATTCAGCTCACAGATGCTGTTATAGCTGCCAACACATCACAGCACAAGGGGCATATTCATAAAGTGATAATCACACAACAGGGGGCGTGATATTCATTCACACACTTGTGATGTTCACACCACTCTACTACACTTTAACTAATCACGAGGACGAGGCGGCGACACCACTCACCTTTTGTCCACATCTTGGGACTTGGTCAAGGCTGTGTAGTTGGTTGACAAGTCTATGAGTCTGCCCGCCTGGTCTGAACACACCCCCGCCCCACTCTCCTGGCCCCACTCGGGCTGGGAATTCACCTCATTTCTCCTCTTCGTTTCTCTCTTCAGTTTGCGTGTTTTGCACTTGAAAAGAGCCAACACGTGACTAAACTCCTCGGCAGTCAGAGACATTTCAACTTCCTCCTCCTCCATAATATTCACTCCAGAGCACACAACTCATTCTATCTGCAGTTCAAATTCCATATTTCATCATCTTACTCATGCATTAGTGCATTATTTGCTCAATAGTCAATAGGCAATTTCTGCTCACCAAAAACTGAGGGTGTGGAAACTGCAGTCAGTAATTTCTATCTTTTAAATTTACAATATTTTATTTTTCCAAACAAGTTAAATTCAACTAACTTACTTTATTTTTTATTCAGTTCCCTGGCAAACCAAAAGGTTTCCGAAAGAAACTGAAGATTTAGACAAATTCATTTTTGTCTTGATATACACCCAAATCACGCAACTATTGTATGCTAATGACGCACAAGCTACTCGGTACTCCCACAAACAAAACATCGAAATTAAAACATTAGAATGCCGAGGGCGGGGGACCACCGCTCTCATTGAATTCGACTGGCCAAATCTTTGCCGAGGTTCCAAAAATTACTACTATTTTTTGATTGCCAGTTAATGACTCTACCAAAAAAATCCTGAAAAACGACAAAAACAGCCGATCACTGCGTAAGTGGCACAAAATGTTCTGATTACGGTCATTATTGCAAAAAATTACAATGAAATCAAAAGCTTATTAATTTCTAGTGTTTTAAAGTGATCAAATCTGCCGCCGTTCAATCCAATTACAATAATGCGTTTTTTAAATCCAAAACATAGCCGACAGACCAGTCATGAACCGATTGCTGGGCAATGTGCAAATGAAATTCCAATTTCAAAACTAGAAGTCGATCACGTTTTTCGTAACCTTCACACTTCAGCTGCTCGATAGTCGAGTTTGTCTTCATTTTAACAAAGGAAAATCAAAAGTCGAACCACGAAAAATCAAAATTGAGCGTGAACAAACATTCCTGGCATAAAAATCACCAAGACCTATATGGGTATTCACTACGTTCATATCTCTTAATAATTAAGAAAAAAATGTAAAAACGGATAGATAAAAAATCAAACAAATGGGATATCTCCGCTAAACTATCCCTTACTTGGATAAATTTGTCTCAACAACCAGTTAATAAAATCAGTTCTTCTCGGCACAACTTTTAAAATTATTTTTGGAATCCTAATTTCAAGCAATGGGGCTTTTAAATTAAAGTACACTTATCCCTCCCTCACCCGCACTGATGTAACTATAATTGAAAGACCCCCCCCCCCCCCCCGCAATCCCTGCGCCACTTTTCATTTCTGATACTTCTTGACGCGATCGAAACAACATAAATTATAAACGAAATAACCAGAAATCAAGCAAAAACTAATTGAATCAGGAAAAAACGACAAAAATTTTTTTCACGCAAGCTCCCCCTACGCTAGAAACTAAAAAAGGATTTCAGAAACTAGCGTAACGTAAAAATATGTTTTACATTTCTATGAACTTTTGAAACCGTTATTTAGATTGCCCTGTGACTGTTAAGTTTTTGAACAGAGGCGAAGCTGCACTTCGCAGAAAAAAAACAAAATCGCAAACTGGAGCTTTACAATTGAAAAAATATATTAAAACAACTAAATAATCTTAAAAATGAAAAGAATTAGCCGAATAACGGTTTCAAACTGCCGACCTCAGGATTAAAAAGCATACGTATTCTTGTCTGAGTCGACTGTTTTAGCGTTCATTATAAAAAAAAATACCAGAATCTTTATTAAATCAAATATAATGCATTCTTAATTTTCGGATGAACAGACTGACATTCAAAAATTTAATAAACTAGAGCCTCACCCTCACTTATAACAGTTTTAATAACAGTTTTTTTTGAACCGAGAAGTTAAACCCTATACAATCTTGAAATCCTAAGAGACTATCAATACGATATAATATTTAAAAATATAAAGATTATCAAAGCGATATAAAATTATTTTTTAACGATATGAAAATCGAGATCGAATTTTTTAATATAAACTATTTAATATGAAAACGATTGATGTTTTAGGCTTTCTAATTAAATACTTCAGTGCTGTACTAGGATAAGCAGTTGTTCCAGCATGCCAGTAGCTAAATCCTAAATCCACAGAAAAAAATCAACTAAATCAACAAAACATATATAAACCAAATCAAAAAGACGAATAAAACGCATTTTTTTTTCTCGAAAAATAACAGTGTGTAACAAAAATTGCCATTTTCTAATTCAACAATTTCGACAAAATAATCGGCTACAGCTGAATTTAAGTAGTATATAAAGACAACACAGAGTTCTCTATAATACGCGGTGATACCAAAGCCTTAATCAATAAAACTGTCTTATACTATAGAGCAGATCAGGTTGAAACCGAAAAAAATGAGATCTAAAATCAAATAACAATTCGGAAATTCAGAAGAAGTGACAAAAGAATCATATCTCCGTAGCTGCCATTTGTTTACCTCAGCATTGCAACCTAAATCAAGTCTGGCAGCCTAAATCAATTAAATTTGAGGACTCCCAAATATGCAAGACTCCATTGTTTTCTTATTTCAAAAACAATGGCAAGATTATCTCTTGAAATATTAAATTGCAAGTACCAGTTGCTACTTCTCTCTATGACAATAGACAAGAGCAAATTAGATCGAATCTGATTTTTGAACATTTTCAAGAACTTAACAAAAATGGTCACAACTCCTAAAGAAACTATTTTAAATTTTAAAATAAAAGGAAAAACAAGGAGACTCGGTTTTTAGAAACAATAGAAGTTTCCATTTAACAATTTTGAAAGATGCATTTTTGCACCCAATAGTAGCTTTACGTGATTTCAAGTTAAGCCATGATAGCGATCCAGGGAATATATAGTTCAGTGTGAAGTTTTCCAACCTGAACTGAAATAAAAAAAATTTGCTTTTCGAAAACAGACGAACTCATTATATACTAACCAAATCTAGAACAGAACGAATTTCCTTTGAAAATTTTTCAAAAATTGTCGAAATCTCGAAACTACTGGGGTACAGTGAAACCCAGTAGGTTACTATATTTCTATTTTTTCTCAAAAACATTACCCTAAAAAGGTGAATATAGCCAACAGAATGTTTGAAAACTGTCAATTGATGAAAGAAAACAAAAAAACTACTCACATGTTTTTTTTGAAAAAACTTCACCTTGCGAATTTCAAAGCAAAAAATATATGCCTTTTAAGTCTCTTCGAACTTTAAGATTACTCTAAACTGATAACTTTTAGATAAAACTGGCAGTATGAAAAAACTACTGAAAAACTTATTTTCAAGCGGTAACTCAGAAGAAAATAATTCGGCAGACGACGCTTGAGCCAAAAAAATGCACCAAAAAAATTGAAAACCAAAATCATGTAATCGAAAAATCAAAAAACATCTACCGAAATTTCTAAAGTTTATCAAATCCAGTTCAATTTGAGGACAAATGCTGAGAAACACTATTGCCACTGTTAAATAAGTATTAAAAAACAAAATATACCAAGCGGTAACTAAGCAGACAACCGTTGAGCCAGAAAAAAAAAACGAAATGACATAAATTAAGAAATCAAAATTCAAACCGCAAAAAAATGAGTGTAAACATCATCAGAATTATAGTGGCTTCACTACATTTATAGGCACTCAAAATGGAAAATTTTTTAAAATTCATAGTTGCTTTGAAAGAAATAATTTGGAGTATCAATGTAGATAGACATATAAAAAAAACAGAGGACAGTTTCTTGTTTCGCTAAGATGGCAACCAGGATATATTCATATTAAAGGATAAAACCTGTTGAAAATTTTAAAAGTTTGCGTTGCCAAAAGAGAAAAACAAAGCATTTTAAATTACAACAAAAATGCTTACAGCTCAGGAACGATGACTGATGTGGCAACTACGCCAGCAGAACATGAGCAAACTAACAAAAGGCCGACAATTTTCTGAAAACGGAAAATTTCCCATAAAAAAAAACAGGTCCTGACCCGATTCGAACCTAGGACCTTTGCCGTCCCGTTATCACGTAGTCGTTACCTCTATACCAAGTTTCCGGAGATACTAATAAAATTGACAAAATTATAAATATACTTTATACACAGAGGCTAAGTGGATCTACACATCACTTGTGATACAACACAAACATAAAAAATGTGAGTCGAAAAAAAATCAACAAGTTGAAAAAACTAGGTCTACCAAAAATTAAATTTTCGTAAATCTCGATGGACAGTCATTTTAGGCAAACTTGCTAGACATTTGGATATTAATTTAGCAACAGAACCAAATTTACTCTTGAAACAAAGGCGACAAAGCCAGGCACAAGTTCAGCCGAAACAAAAACAAATTTTATATAAAAACCTTTACACCCTTCCCTCAAACTACATCAAACAACACTTGTAACTTCAAGCTTCAATGAAAAATGCTTACTGAACAAAAATGATTCCGTGATACTGAAAAATGCTTCCGTGATAAGACAACTAAGCCAACAACCGTTGAGAAGAGACAAGTTAACCTGGAAAAAATATATTTTTAATTTCAAGCCCCATGAAACTACTTTAGAAAACATGCACTTGCAACTACAATGAAGGTTACTTGCAGCAGAAGCAAACTTCGTGATGTGACAAGAAAGACGAAAAAACTTGAGCAGACAAACAAAATTCCGACAATTCAAGTTTTACATAACAATTGTTATACGAAAAATTTGTAAAGGAAATTTCGAGCAGTTAAATTGTTTGAATTTTCAATTTTCATACATTTAAAATTTAGAATCAGACTTATTCAAACTAAAAAAAAAACATTTTTTTTGCCGCTTAGCCGATGCAAAATAGTTTCACTAAACTGACGAACATCAGCCGAAATAAATTCGGCCGAATTAAATGTCTACGCGTAAAAAAAAAGGAAAAAAAATAAACCAGTCATGGTTAGCAAATTGACAAATTACCGGAGCCTATCCACAAAACTTAATATTACAAGGAAAAACGCTTACAGCGCAAAAAAACGGTGGTGTGGCAACTAATTCGACAAATCAGTAGTCGACAAACAACCGTCAGACCATTCCATTTTTCACGAAAAAAAAGTTCAATTGCATACGCTCAAAAAAAATAAAGTCCGTTCGGGACTCGAACTCCAGACCATAGGATGCAAAGGCAATTGCATTACCTCCGGACTAAGTGGAAAGGGACCTGGAAGTTGCTAAAATTCGACAATAAAGCAACATCAATTTCTTACAACGTGTAAGAAATGTTGTTTACGGCAAAAAAAAACCTTGTTCTCGATTACAAAACACTTGCTTTCATGAAGTGTCAAAAGATCCAACTGATTTTATTTAACAGTTTATAGCAAAAAAAAAACGAATATATCTTGATTCGATGACGCTTTTCTAGTTGCAATTGTAAAAAAAAAAATCATTTCAACAGGCGAATCGGATGCATTTGCAAAACAATACAAACAAAGCGTGGCCATCGATCCGACAGTCAAAAAAATAATTGAAACAGAGGGAAACCAAGCTTAGCATCACTTGCGATACAACGCCAGCGTACCATTGTAAATTTTGAAGATGAATGAAAAATTCACAACCGAAAATTGAGAAAATTTTTATTAACTCAAAAAGCCTTAAAATAATTTTTTGGAAAAATTGTAAATTGTTTTTTTAAACAATATAAAAATTGTTTTTTTTTTGAATTTTTTTCAGATTTTGAAGAAACAACACACCAAGTTAGCGCTTCAGAATTTCTCTAATCTTTTACGCCCAGCTCATTTCTCATAGAACAAACACAGTTTGAGAAAATTCGGTTAATGGGTAATTTTATATACGATTGAAAAAGCTAAATATAGTCAACTGACAGTTTTTTGATAAAATTAACACAATGTGAGAAAACTGGATCAATAGTTTAAACTTTTTGCTGGCAAATCTGATAATATTAGGATACATATTCGAAATTACAAGTCGATCAGGTTTTTCGTGGCCTTTACTTTCGCGGTTCGATACTGAATTTTGCATTGCTTTTAATAGAGTTAAATAATTGAATTAAAGAAAATCGAAAGTCTAACCGTGAAAAATCAAATTTAGCTGAACGAATATATTTTAAGACTTTTCCTAAAAAACGAATACTAAAATCCAGGTTCGTTTGCGCCAGTTGCACTTTCGAACTTGATTAGTATAATCACCTTTCTTCCAGTGAATGAATTTGAATTAACTTGTAAAGAAGTCAGTAGTCAAACCGAAAAAAATCAAATTTCAGCGTAATCTAAATGTTCCCTGAAACATTTCCCAAAAAAGTGTATTGAAAATTGTATTTTGACGGGTCAGCTCGCTACAAAAAGGTTTCAGACCGAAACAACTTCGGTTTCCGACCGAAGTTGTTTTGATTTCGATTGTCCGTCTAATTTATTTTCAATTGTGACTATGAAATGGGTAGATTTATTCCCAAAGACCTACGCAAGTAAATTTTAGGAACCGCCCAGGCGAAACTATCCTTATTACTGTTTGTCTTTCACGATAGATCGTCAGACTGCACCCAGGAGCTACATGTTTCCCTAACTGTGTTTTATTTTTTAATGACCAATAATTTGCCGGGTAGAGCTACGAACCAATTCGAATGGGCCTAAGCAGTCATAGACAGCAACAGAACTGCCTAATGGTATGCCTCCAGCTCAAGTTTTAGGTTGTTGCTGTCATGTGGTTTACAAATGCACTATCGGCGCTCTTCGTGACAGATCACGGAATGAACGGCAGAAGATTTTGAAACCATCAGAGATGAAAAAAACAATGATTTCAGTAAGTTAAGAATTTCTAGGCATTCTAAAATTTACCTGAAGAGCTTAATTGCCTCGCCCGGTTTTGCAATAGTGTAAAAAGAAAAGCAAATATTTGAAATATAAATTATTGTGTATTAATTAATAAAAAGACGGGCATGTAAATTGAGATCTATTGAATCTGCATTTTCACTTATATTATAAACTCTAATGCTCACAGTGGTGTTATGCTAAAGGTAAAGGTAGTTTGTGGTGTAATGTAATGTACCATATCATACAATAAGAATAAGTGTAAAACCTATGATATTGCACAGGCTCAACTTCAGCCATCGCTTCATTTTTGGCCCAATTTAACATACTACATTTGACATGCAAATTCATTAAGTACATTGTTTATACAAAAATAATGATTTATTCGCCACACTTCAATTTGCACCATATAAACAGTATGCGGTGATTAACCGGGTGGATATATGGATGGATTATGGATAGTAGTTCAGCTCTAGCATTGTGCCAATCTGCAAGAGAAACAGCAACAGTTGTGTATTCATGTAAACTCCTAGTCCAATATTTTAGAGAAGCAATCAGGTTTTTTTTTCAGACACCTAATTGACTTCAATACAAAAGGCGCTATCAGAAATAAAAATTGGAGCACCTGCAAAGCTGTTGAACAAAATAGAAACTATAATAAAACTTGGATGAAGTTTCCGGACCTTGTTAACTATGCTCCATTGCCGGGGCAATGGTTTACATTTTTAGTGTATGCTTAACCGTTGGCCTAATTTCTTACAAGGGTGGATATTCATTCGGTACAGTTTACCAAAGTGGGATGTTGACAAGATCCATTTCATCTATCTTTCCATATCTTTCTTCTCTTCGATCGAGAAAAAACTAACAGCACCTTTTACGCAATTCATATTGAATACATGTTCCATATGGGTTCATCAACAACTTTAGCTTAATTTCCTACTTTAAGTCAAATGAAATTTCAAGTTTCACCAAATCTTCACTTCAACTGTTTTCATTTCATATCACTCAATTTGTCTCTGTACTCAAAGGCTTCAGTTCAAAGATGAAATGATGAAATTTAGGTTTAACGGTCAATCTAGAGCATAAATTGCAGTTAAAATACCTCCCGTAAACTCGTAGAACCCAAATTCTGATGTACATACTTGGACCGTTTTTGATTGTTCTTATTAATACGCGATACAAACCCATATGAAATTGTAAAGAAAAGTATTTCCTGATTTTTGGAGTATTTATGAATCATTGCACAATCAGACCGTTAAGTGCTAAGCTTAAAAGGGAAGCCCAGGCTGTTGAGTTCAGTTGAGTTGGGCGAAAGGCAGATAAACATATGGCGTCTTCTCTCATTCCCCAAAAAGAAATGGGTCAATCTATTCAGGCTGTTGTCCTCACTTCACTTCAGAAAGCCTCTTAACGGCCTCAAAGCCATGCAGGCAGGCAGGCAAAGCTCAGGGTAGACATAGAATTTAGAAACATTTCAGATTGTCAGAAGCGAAAAGAACGAGTTCCAACTAACGGGGGATTGGGCAGTAAGAAAACAACTTCAATTTGAAGGATTAAATCCTTGTTTTGATAACATTTAACAGAGAAAACGGCTATCTAACACTTGAAAACGACACAAATTTATTACATTTATATTGTAATTCAATTACTACCAATTTAATGTTCTTTCAAAACGCGCCAATTGCAAATTAGGATCAAGCCAAAATTTCTAAATTGAGGGAAAGAAGCGCGACTTTGAATGATACATGAATAAGTTCTCCATGAATTTTACAAATTCATCAATAAATATGTGAAAATTACAAAATGGAACGAATTAATTAAACGTCTGTTTGAGTTTTACAAAGGATAGAAAAACGACAACTACCGTGGTTTAATAGAAATAAGCACTAACTACGACAGCAGCAGACTTAGAAATTAATTATCAGGCTAGCGCTTAGGAGATTATTCTGAGCACCTTTGATTTTGAACGTACGTTTCAGAACGGTAGAAAAGACCAGTTTCATGCTGCATGACAAAATATATTTTAAACATAGACCTCAACTAGAGGCCTGTCATCAATTGATGGATAGATTTGAGAGGCAGCAGCCAATATTTCTTCATACCATTGCATTGACGACGTGCACATTAAACTTTGGACGTGCTAGATGACAGTACTGGTTCCATGTAGTCGTCGTCATTGTTCGGCGGCCCACTTGCTAGACCATTGGGGGGAGGGGGCGGAGCTCTAGTGGGACCCCTTTGCATCGAAGGGGGACTTCGTGTGGGTGGGAATCCATTGGCTCCCCCGTTTGCCATGGAACCCCCAGCGACGTTTTGTTTCATGTTGTCCATCTGGATCGCATCGTTAGAAGTCATGGCCGCGTCCTTTTGAGAAGTGGCGACGGGTGCCTGGTATGCTCCTCCTCCCGAGGGACTGTTGGGAATCCTGTGGTACATGCCTCCTCCGTCTCCTCCGCGCATGCTTCCCAGAGTGCTCGTTCTAGACTGCTGCTGTCTGTAAATCTGCTGCTGCTGTAGCATCACCAGCTGCTGTGCGTCCAGGCCAGAACTGGTCTGAGGCCCCATGTATGCCGGTCCGTATTGAGCGGGTCCGTATTGAGCGTATCCGTACTCGTAGTTCTTGATCTGATCGTAGTCGATTGCACAGTACTGGTCTTCGTCATTCACGTCTTCATAAAGCGATGAGTCATTGGTGCCTGGACGCTTGGCTCCTGCCGCTCGCCTTCGACCTCGTTGAGGACCTATCAAATAAAAACAACCATCTTCTAAGAACACTTTATATCGATTTCAATGTTTGTTTTACTGCCAATAAGATGTCTAGAGGCGAGCGGACAGATGATTTTATCGAAAACGTTGCCATTGAGCCAATCAAAGTAATTCTTTGTTTAAAGACTGACACAGAATTAGCAATGAAAACACCACAAAACAGTTTCACGTCTTTTGTCCCTTCTTCCTCCCTCCCTTCCCACTACCGAGTGGTGATTTAATTTTTAAGTCTTTTCAAAGTTTCGGAAAAATTAGTTAGTGTTGAGAAACAACGGTCTGAATTTTTTTTTTGCTTCTCAGACTAATTTAGCGTGAATGGTTGAGTTACCCATCGCCACAACTTTACGTAAGCAAATACTAACAACAGCTGCCTTTTAGGTAAACTAGCGTTTACCTAAAATAAAATAAGCTCAAAATAAAACCGCATATATTGGAAATAAGAGCTGCATTCTTTGAGTGTATTCTGACAGCACCCAATTACAGGTTCGTAATTGCAAATGTTGCAAACTTTTTTATTCAAATTTTTTATACAAATTTTGAAGAACTAAAAAAATTTTCTGAAGTTTTATATAAGTTCTTCGCAAAATTTAAAATGACGGAGAAACGTCACATCAAGAAAACTAAAAGCAATTGAGCAGTCGCATTTGGACGCAAGATTTGCAACTTTTGAGAGTACTCTTATAGTACCCAACCACAACGTTGAGAAATTCAATTTTGAGAAACTTCACCTCAAGTTTTCTAAAAAAAAAAAAAGGTATTTTTTGAGAACCAGAAAAAATTTCACATCTCGAAACCACACAAGATTTCAACAGTCTTATTTGATGGCAACATTCGCAATCTTTGAAAGTACTCTGACAGCACACAACTACGGGGTTGGAAATTTCACTTTAGTGAATTATTTTGTAATTTGAGTTATCTGAAAATTTCTAAAAAAAAAAAAATCACAAAAAATAATCTTATGCCTTAAACAAAAAAGGTTTGGGAAGTCTTAATTGGAGGCCGAATTTGCAACCACTGAGATTATCTGACTGCCCCCAAATACAGGTTAGGAATTTCAAGTTTTGAAAAAAAAATAATTTAACTTTCATGAAATATTTTTTGAAAAAATCACAAAAAAGTCATTTCTGGATAACTGCAAGGTTTTGAGCATTCATCTTTGGAGGCCAAATTCGCAACTCCTGAGAAAACCCTGACAGAGTCTCACTACATAGATGGTAATTTCAAGTTTTGTGAAATTTTTTATATCTACGTTCTCTGAAAAATTTTGAGAAAATCCTAAAAAACGTCATATCTCGAAAAGTACAAGAATTTGAGCAGCCATATTCAGTGGCAAGATTTGCAACCCCCTGAGAGTACCCTCACAGATTCTAATAACAGGATTGAGATCTTCAACGTTTTTGAATTTTTCAACAACTAAGTTTTTTTAAATTTCGGAGAAAATCATAAAAAACGTCGTATCTCGAAAACTGCAGAGATTTGAGCAGTCATATTTGGAGGCGGAATTCACAACTCCTGAGACTACCTTAACAGAGCCTCAACACAGATGCGAATATCAAGTTTTTGGAAATTTTATTATATCTAAGTTTTCTGAAAAATTTTGAAAAGAAAATCCTAAAAAAACGTCATAAGTCGAAAACTACAAGGATTTGAGCAGCCATAATCAGAGGCAAGATTTGCAACTCCTGAGAGTACCCTCACAAAATCTAACAACAGGAAGGATATCTTCAACATTTTGAAATTTTTTAAAAATTAAGTTTTTGAAATTTTTTTGAAAAAATCTTGAAAAACGTCATATCTCGTAAACTAAAAGGATTTGGTTATTCATATTGGAGGCCAGAATCGCAAAACCTGGGAAAACTCTGAAAATATCCCACTCGAGAAGTGCTAATTTCAAACTTGATGAAATACTTGAAGCACTGAATTTAAACAGGAAAATCGAAAAAAATCTTAACCATAGCAATATACGATATATAACTCAAACGTGAAATTTTTTTATTTTGCAAAAATAATACGTTGAAAAAGCCTAAACATGGCGAGAGAGTGAAGCCCGCATTTAAATATATAATATAAAGCTGAGGTTAGAAAATTAGGAGACTGGTAGACAGACATAATCATATTAATTAAAACAGCAGGTATACAGACACAGAGAGAAAAAAATACTGAAAATTAATGACCTTGCGGAAAACTAATTTAAAATTTTTCTTACGCATTGCAATATATGATATAGCTTAAACATGAAAAAACTCTTTCGTTAAACATGCAAAATCATTATGCTTAAGCATGGGAGATAGCTGTCACTCGCATTTAAATATAGTATAGATAGATTAACTTGCTAACAAGTTCTTGAATCTTTACTATAAACCCAATCTTCACTCTTTCGTCCAAATAAAAAAATATAGTGAGAAACATGAGAAATAATCGTATTTTTTCAACTTCTTTTGAACATCGTGTGCCATCTACACAGCAACTGGCTATTGTTGCTGTTACTTCGAATGAGACTGAAAGTACCTGGAGGGCCTCCTGGCATGGTGCTGTTCATGGGACCCCCCGCAGGTCTTGCCGGGCCCATGGCTCCCCCATAGTCCGAGTAGTTGTCCCCGTAGTACACAGTGCTCCCCATCACCTGGTACTCCGGCCCCAACTCCATTCCGGCGGGGAAGCCAGCCGCCAAAGTGCCCGCATTCTGCGCCATCGCTCTCATCCTGCCAAAAGTCAAAGCATGATACCTGCACCATTGCTTACGATAATATATCGCACCTTTTTAAAACTATTTGTCCAATTTATCAATTCTCAAACTATGAAAACAGAAGTTAGGTTAATTAGTTGAGAATAAAAACGTTGCTTAAACGCAGAGGTTAAACTGCAACTCGCAAACAGTGCAAAAAAAAGTAGCACTAGGATCCCAGCTAAAGCTGGATGTACCTGTTTAATAACTTTTGTGTTTGTACTAATGCGCGATGATGTGTATTTTCGAAAATTCGATTTCACCCAAAATCTTAGTTGTTGGAAAATCTCATTTGCAATAACATTTTTCTTGCAAATTTTAAGTTCTAGCCGCTTAGAACGAGGTTTTCGAGAAAAGCCAAAAAGTTAAGAAAAACTCACAAAAAATTGACTGTTCTGAGGGCCATAACGTTTTTGTAAGAAAAATTGGACGCATCAAGTTAAACAGGGCAGCTTCTCTCAACCTTTCATGATTGATTTCAAAATCACATATTTGGGAGGGTTGTTTCGAGAAAATTCAATAAGTTCAAGAAAAACTGTTTAAAAAAAATTTAAAATTTGACTTTTCCGAGTACCATAACTTTTTCTGTAAAAAATTGAGTATAGACGCTGATGAAAAGGAGCTCACCACAGCCCATTCTTCCGATTGAACCGAAAAACTCAGATTTGGGAGGCTAGGTTTCCGACAAATCAAAAAGTTTAAGAAAACGAAAAAAAATAATAATAATAACCGAGGGCCATAACTTTTAGTGGGAAAATATTTGGGCGTATCGACTTAAACAGCGGAGCTTCCAACAGCCTATTTTTTCGATAGAAAGCAAAATCTCAGATTTAAGAGCTTTGTTTTCGAGAAAAGTCAAAAACATTTACATAACGATCAAAAATCAAATATTCCGTTGGGCCATAACTTTTTGCATAAAAAATTGGGCATAGCCGCTTATATAAGGGAAATTTGCACAGTCTTTCCTGTCGATTGAACCCAAAATCTCAGGGTCGGGAGGCGGGAGGGTAATTTTTGATAAAGAAGATAAAAAACTGAAAGAATTTTCCAAATAATATTCAAAATTACGTTTAAAAACTTAACACAGCCAACAGAAAAAGTTTCACTGACCAAAAAAAAACGATAATATTTTTTGAGAATTTTCCAATTTTCAATCTTCGAGGGAAAAAGAAAGAGGCGAAGCTGCGCTTCGCAAACACCAGCCAGAAAACGAACAAAATTAGCTTTAAACAAGAATAAGAAAAGAAAACGTCAAAACCAGCCTTAAGAATTATACCTATTGATGTGGCAGATTCGAACCTTCGGCCAGGAAACTTGGAGTCGCACGTCTTCGACACGGGCCATTGAAAATTTACCAGCACTAACCAGCAATAAAACAGCTTCATATGCTTATAAATTAACAATGCGATGCAGCATAATTTGTACCAAATAAAAAGACAATAATTTTGCATTTAATAATTTGGAATAAATTAAACTGAGGGCATCTACACTAACTTTGCGTGTATCAAATTGAAAGGCATAAAACCAAATTATGAACGCAGAGGTAAAACTGAGCTTCGCACCACTTGCGATACATCTATATCTGTTAAAATGAATGTAAATAGTTCTTCTAAAAAATATGCCCAAATAATAGAATGCAAAATCAGCATCGGAACAAAATTAACCAAGCGGTGACAACTCCGAAAATATCTGAGTCAAAATTTTTTTAACAATCAAATTTAATTAAAAATGTTTACTTCCTTCTTACCCTCATAACACAAACAAAAACACAAAATCTTTTTTCGCGCATCAAACGACGCAAAAAGAGGCTACAGAGTCAAAGTAAAGTCAGCCGAAACCTATTGACCCGAAAAAAATGAAATTGCAACAAACCGAGTGGTTAAAAAACAACGAAATTAAAAAGTACAGTGGGGAATTTAGAAATTATGTTGTCGTTGAAACAACCCAAAATAGGTCACAAAGCAAATTAAAAAAGGCCGAAACAATTTCAACCGAAGAATATTTTTAAGCGAAACAAAAAATAAAGAAGGAAATACATAGTCAATGTAAGTAAAAATCGTAGTTAATCAAACAATAGAAGCACCATTAAACAAAGAGACAAAGCTATGCTTCGCCAACACTAACGAGAACAATAGCAATAAGCAGCTCTATCAAGTGAAATAAGAAGTAGAAATAGGCCTCGAATTACCAAAAACTCGGCAACGTGTCGGATTCGAATCTGCGACCTAGCAAAATTGAGTCTCACGCACTAACTACTCAGCCACGGATGCTATAAATTCCCAAAAATTAGCCACCAATAAGGCTTCATATGTTAATAAACTGCCAACTCGATGCAGCAAAAGTAGGGTAGCATCAAAAACAAAAAGACAAAATTTTGCATGTAATAAATTTGGAAGCATGAAGCCAAATTGTTTATAATAAGTTATGCATTTCACAAAACAACTGCGAGATACATTGAGCTGGAAAATTTCTGAAGTCGAGCTTTTTTCATTGTACTGCTGTTTGAAACAAATAACTTTTTTCGGTTCATTTGATGGATTAAAAATGCATCAGCTGTGTCAACTTTTTACTTATCAAATGTCAAAGCACATTACATTATACTGCTACCGCAGCCTGTCTATTCGAAAGTGCCACCAAAAGTAACACTTTATTTGGGACTTAGGTTGGAAAAAAAGAAAGTTCGTACTAATACACTTTGCTTCGCCTGTGTAAAACTGCGCTCAGTAGTAAAAAAAAAATTCCAAGATGTGGCAACTAAGCCGAAAATTATAAGCAGACAAATAATTAGCCGACAATTTTATTCGAAACAGAATATTTCCCCTTTGAAAAAACAAATCCTTATCAGGTTCGAACCAAAGGACCTTTGCGTCGCGCGCGTATTCGTTCACAGACTAAAAGTGTCGGAAACGCTGAGAAAAAATGAGTTAATGAAATAAGGTATCACTATAGATGAGTCCAAAAACCAGCAGAGATGAATCCTGTGAACTAAATTATTTACGGGAAAAAATTCAAGTACCCGATTGCAAAACCCTTGCTTATCGCTGAAGTAATAAATTATGAATTTCAAAAAGAAAATGGGAGATAATTTGAGGTAGAAAAATTCTGATAAGCAGTTTTTATTATTCTATTGTGGTTTGTTTTACTTAAAAATTTGAAATTGGAGAGCGTAATTCATCTTCCTTTTGGCAAACCATTTTAAACTGAACTTGAAAACAAAGTCAAGTAGCAAAATAAATCAAATTTAAGCCTCGTTCCAAATATCTTTTTCCGGAAAAAAAAATACGCGACCTAAACAAAGGTCTTTAATTCGTTCATTGACATTCAGAATACGAAAAGCTAGATCTACGAAAAGTTTCATACCTTTGTCTCAATTTGTTTTAAATACAAAAATTGAAAGTAATTTTGCCTCTAAATAAAACAAATGAATCGATAACACAGCCAACAATTTTTGATCAGACACCCGTTTAACCAAACAATTTTTGAGCAGCCCAAAAGCCGTTGTTTTCCTTAAAAAAACTTTTTAAACTGTTAAATTACCCCATCAAGAAAATCACAAGCATAAAAAACCTGTTTCGCTCATCCATGGACGCAATATGGGGCGACCAGGCCAATCAGATATGTACCAATCAGGTATAAAACCCATTTAACAAAGAAAAACGAAGAAAAACGAAAATTGGAAATCAAAACGAACCAGATTCGGAAAATTTAACACCATCATAAAAACTACTGAATAGAACGGTTATTTAATATACAGAATTGATCAAAATATGACTGTTAGCAAACGAAAATGCAGATTTAAGGAAATGATTCAGTGATTCTGATGGACAAGTTATTTTTAAGAAAAAGTATGTTCCGAATTGACACCGCTTGCTAAACGCGAGCATAATAATCGCATGCACAAAAATTCTGTTCACTTTTATCATCGACGGAGTTGAATATTTTACAAACACATCGGTGTTCATTTGAGAAAAAAAATATTTGAAAAATTAATTAAAAAACAAAACAAAAATTTCTCAAAAAAATTCCATTCAGAAACTTAAAACAAAGCTGAACTTTCAAAAAATAATCGGGTGAACGCAAGAACTCAAGTAAACAGAATTTCAAGGAAGGCAAGTATACAGAAAAAAGTACTGAATTATATTTCAAAACTTTCAAAGTTCAAAGAAAAAATATACGGACCTAAGCTCTTTAAGTTTCTTGAACGATTAATGATTGACACTTTTTGATAAAATTAACCAAATTTGAGAAAAATGGATTATTAGGTAAAAATTTTATTCGCTGATATATCTGATTATTAATTTCCATTTTACAAATTACAAGTCGATAACGTTTTTCGTGGCATTTACACTTTCGCTGTAGGATAGTGAAACTTGTCTTCCTTTCAACAGGTGACAGGACTTTAAAAAATCAAAAGTCAAACTGCGAAAGTACATTCATGAAAGCATTAATGTTTCAAAGCACTTTTGGAGTTATTTTAAGACTTTTCCAACACTAAGACAAACAATTCTTTCAGAGTGATTCAAAATAATTGTGAAAAAACAAACAAGAACAATAGAATGCAAACTCAGCATCGGAATAAAATTAACCAAGCGGTGACAAAGCCAATAATACCTGAGCAGGAAATCTTCAAGCCATTAAATTTATTTCTTAGGCCAAAGCTAATAAAAAAGTTTACGTCCTTCTTCCCCTCATAACACACACAAGCATACGGAAACTTTTTCGCGCTTCAAATGAGGCAAAAAAGGGGTACCAAGCCGATATAAAATAAGCCGAGACCTATTAAATCGAAGAAAAAATGAAATTTTAACAAACTGAGTGGTAAAAATACAACCAAATTAAAAAGTGCGGAGATGAGTATCAAAATTGTGTTTCTCATGAAACAACCCAAAATGAAGTCACCAAGACAATAAAAAAGACAAAGTAATTTGGGCCGAAGAAAGTTTTTAAGCAAAACCTAGGTATGTCAAATTACAAATAGCATGTGTTAATCAGTACACTAAAACATTAATGAAACATGCCCGCAGCAAAAAAAAAACGATTCTACTTTTAAAAAAACAGGTCCGGCTCATATTCGAACCTAAGACCTTTGCCAACCCGGGCGTATACGTTACCTCGTATAAGCTATAAGGGCCGGTACGCTAGAAAACTTGAATTAAGTATGAAACTAGGTACCACCTAAGATAAGTCCAGATTAGTCCTGTGAACAAAATTATTTAGGGGGAAAAAGTCTTGTACCCGATTGCAACACCCTTGCTTACAAGGGTAAACACTTTTCTGTAGTTATTTTTAAGACTGTTAGAGCGTTTTAGGACTGTTTCCATGAAAAAAACTAAAATAATCAAGACCTATATAAATGAAAATCATTTCTTTTTTTTTTTACAAAATAATGTCCCAAATCGCGAAGGACTACTCTAATGGAGTTTTGGATTCAGATCATATCGTGAATAATCGTACAAAACCATACCGAGCAGCTGTTCGCATAGTCGTTGGCAGCGCGTTATTTCCAGTCAAATTTTTGGGAACGATGTCGCCAGTGTAACGAGTTCCACTGTACTGTCGCAGAGTGGCTTTCCCACTCTTAGCACTGGATCCCTCTGGCGTGATGGACTTTCCATTTCTAAGAGTGCCATTCAAGCTCTTCTTCGGAGTGTCGTTGTCCCCATTGTCGTCGAATGCCTTCTTGTCCTCGAGGTGATCGAAGTAACGTGCTGTTTTGCCGTACTGCACGATTATTCCGATGACCAACACGATTGGCCAGACACAGAGGGAGACCCAGCTGTAGGCACACACAGCCGGGGACTGGGCTTGTATCAGGATGACCCAACCGTAATGCGCCAATACCAGCTGTTCCAGCATGTAATCGGCGATGACAAATACCAGAAAACCAGCCACGAAACTCGTATTGGCGATCGAAAACAACTTTTGTCTCAACAAGGACAGAAGAGCCACAAAGATGCCGCACATAAAACACACTGTCAGGCCAAACCACAGTGCTTTGAACGAGGCTAGCAATGCCACCGCAACCACGCAATATGCACCTAAACAGAAAATATGATTCCCATTAACTTAACTGAGGTGATTGTTCATTTATGAGCTAATGAACAATCACCCTTCATTAGCTCATAAAAATAGTTCCATAAAACGTATTCAATTGTGCGTTCACTTTGCCTGAAACCCCCTTTCAAGCCACACCCTTTCATTTGACCGAGTGTATATATTTGGGGGTGTGGGGGGGGGGGGGGATAGTTCAATAGGTACTTGAGACATGTTTATAACCACTTGAAAATAGTTTGAATGACATGAAATCATAAAACATATTTTCCAACGACTGTGGAAAGCCAAAATTTACAATATCCAAGCTCAAAAGTTTCATTCGGATTGAAAAAAGAATCAATAAAACAGCCATAAAAAGCGACTTTTTTCCTTTCTTAACATGACAAAAAGTTTTTGCGAACAATATTAAGGTGCTGCGGAGAACCGTTTGTGCTATTCAGATACAAGGCTAGAGCACCAACCCTGGTAAATCGCTTTCTTCGATGAGGCTATGGTCGCCTAAACAAAATTTTGCAAAAAAAACTTTTTAGCTCAATTGGTCATTACTGGGGGGGGGGGGGGGGGGGGGGGGCTCAATTGATCCCACAGAATGGCACATAAGATCATTAAGGAAAATTATCATTCGAAAACTTACAGAGCTTAACCACAAACCAGGAAGTTAAAATTATCGTGTGACAAACTTCAACGTTCGATCATCTTATAAATGAACGCGATACATATACTATCAATCAAAAAGTAAATATGATATAATGATCGGAGTGAATTGATAGCTTGAAAAGAAAAAACAGTAACTTTGGCGACAGAATTCAGACGCAGACCAATGAGCCGAAAAAATTGAAAAATCTGCATACTTGCTCAGCGAAAAAATCAAGTTGCTTTTAAAATTCGAGCTGCGAATCTGCAATAAGTGGCAAGCAGCAGGAAAACACAACACTAGCGTCTACTGCACCTCCGGTGGTTCAAATAGTTTTCTGAGCAAGAAAATTGCTTATTCATAAATAACGAATTAAACGCAACCTCAATAGATGGGGGCATCCAACAGCAACTTTTATCTTAAAACTCGAGCGATGAAAATAACTTCAAACTGAAGCTTCTTTTCAAACTAAAATGGTCAAGTCTCCAAAATTACGAGTTTCAGATTTTTCGTATTTTTAACTCAAAAACGAACCCCTTAAGTGACCGGCAGCATACATACTTTTTCCATATTTAAAAAACTTTTTAATCGATTTCATTAGCAAAATCACTTCAGTCATAAATGAGATTCTGGTGTATTTTAAATCTTGATTTCATTAGCCCGTATGTAAATCATTCGCTGGCACCCAGGGGCGGATCTAGGATTTTTTGAGGGGGGGGGGGCGGATTTTCAAAAAATTTTCGAAAATTGTGACGACCTTTTTTTTCCGAGCTCTCCTAAAGCACTACTAAATAGTCCTCTCTTTTTTGGCCAAACTTCTGCGCCGCAGGCAAATTTTGGAAAAAACAGGTCAAAAAAGCCGTTTTGAGGCACTTTTTGAAAAATTTTGAAAAAAAAATTGTTTTTTTTTTGGCGCATGCTCCCCCTCCCCCCTCAAAGTTAGTATACATTGGCGCCCAAGGCGCCTTTAGAAAAATTTTAGGGTCGGTCGGCAAAAATGGATTTCTTAAAAAGTATCAAAGTGGGGACCCTTTGGGTCGGCAGGGGGTCGAATCCCTGAGGGGGGGGGGGGTAAAGCTAGAAAGCTGAAAAAAGGCAAGTTTTCAAAGGTCCAAAAAAAGGTCTATTCTGCGGAACTAACCAGACAAAAAGCAGACAGACAATAATATAAATTAGCCAAATATTTCATTTGCAAACAAAACAGGTCTCAATTGGAATCAAAGTCCTGGTTTTTGACATCTCAAGCATGGGGTTACAGCAACTTGGAATGAAGCTGAACCATCGAGCTACGGCAACCAAGCCAACAGAAATAAACAGACGGACGATAGTTCGAGCCGCAAGCCTTTGCCATCTATAGCTGCTAATTTAGCTCTATGCCAGATGGTTGATTGAATTTGAATAAAAAATTACCAAAGCCGAAATAACCTGAGCAGAAAAGAAACCCTTCATGCCAAAAAAAATTCAACACAATTCTCAACTTAAAATGTCAAGTCCCTTTTCCCCACAGAACACACACGCGCACAAAAACTTTTTTCGGTCGTAGCTAACGACGCAATAAGGAGCCACTAAGTCAATATTAATTAAGCCGAAATTTATTAAGCTGATAAAAAAGGCAAAAAATGCAACATAACATTGAAAAAAAAAGTTTTAACAAATCCTGGTAAAATTACAACCATGTGAAAAGCAAGTTTCGATTCGGCCGGATGTTTAAAATGCTAAAGGAAACTACAGTGAAAATTTTTACAGCTAACATAACATATTCTTAGATGTGGCAACTAAGCCGACAAAACATTAGCAGACAAATTTTGGTCATTTTTTGATCCAGATTTTTTACCGATTGAAAAAACTGGTCATGGTGAGATTCGAACACAGGAAGAGACACTAGGAAACTTGAATTTACTATGGAGCAAGGTACATCAGGAGGCCAATGAGTTCTGTGGACAAAGTTGTTTACTGAAAAAAAAAGTCTAGAGCCCGATTGTAATACCCTTATTTATCGCAAGGGTAAATAGATAGATAGATTATAGATTTCTTAATGAGTAACAGTCAATATTTTTATACCTTTTTTTAAGCAAAAATTGTAATCACTCGCAATTGTAATCACTCGATTTGCAAGATGAACTGACATAAAAACTTGAGAGAAATTTAAAAAGCAATTGTAAAGCAAGGGATGAAAAAATCTCGATTAGGTCTCCGCCAGTATAGGCACAGGGAAAGAAAAGTTTCGCACCAATTGTGATAAAAAAAAAGCTTAAGTCGACGAACAAATGTTGAAAAGAACTAGGTGAACCAAAATTTTCGTATGTCCCGATAAAAAATAACTAGGGGCCCTGCTCAAGTTGGAGGTACGTGTTTGATAGTTGTTTCTCTACTAAACTAAGTGAGAAGCTTAAAAAAAATTTGAGATAATCAATTTTCCCAAGGAGGTAAAATTTCTCTAACAAAAAAATTACCAAGTCTCCGCTTCTGCAGGAACCATTATCGAAACCGGTTCTTTCAAATGAAATTTTCATCTCAGATTTGATTAGGTGAATTAAGAAAATTCAAAGTTTCTAAAAAACGCTCAAAATTTTTTTTTCAAAATCCATAAATTTCTGCAAAAAGCAGGTTAAAGTCGTTTAAGCAAAAAAAAATCCTAAGCCGGTTTCTCGATTGAACACAACCTGATAATTGTATGGCAGTTTTCGCGTAAGCTCAAAAAATTTCCAAGCAAATGTCAAAGTTTTGACTTATTTGAAGGCCATAACTTTTTTCTTTCAAAAAAAAAATTGGCACGGTAGTTTTCGCATAAAGTCAAAAAAGTTTCCAAACAACTGTCAAAGTTTCAAAACTTCGGCTTGTTAGAAGGCTATAACTTTTTTATTAAACAAACTGGGCGTAGCCAGTTATAAAGGTAGGCTTTAATAACCCTGTTAAAGGTAGGCTTTCTAAATCCTTGTTTCGATTAAACCTATTATAACAGATTTGGTAGGAAAAGCTAGCGTAGTCGCTTATGCAGAAGAGACTCAATCAACCTGTAATTTCCATTGATTACAAAATCGCAGATTTGGGAGTGTACTTCTCGAGTAAAGTCAAACAGATTCGCAAAACGGTCAAAAATCAAACTATTCAGAGGACCATAACTTCATTGTAAAAAAATTGGGCGCAGCCGCTCATGCAGGGAACTTTTCAAAACATTCTATTCATTGAAACCAAAAACTCAGCCAATAAAAATAGGCCGAGGAATTTTTTAAGCGAGACAAAACGCAAAGGAAATACGAGAACAAGGTGAGTAAAATTACAAATTGTAGGAGTAAATCAAACACAACAAAAGCAACATTGGAGAAAAAATCACGCAGCAAAAAAAACTATTCCAAGATGTGACAACTAAGCCGACAAGCAGACAAATAATTGCCCGACAATTTTATTTGAAACAGAACATTTCCCGTTTGAAAAAAAAAAACAGGTCCTGGTCAGATTCGAACTCAGTATCTTTGCCACAGGCATTTTTAATATCTCCAGGCTAAGCTCGCCGGGAACTCATAGAAGTTTGAATTAATTATAAACCAAGATACAAGTGATTCTGTTAAACAAGTTGTTAACCCGAAAAAAGTCTATATTCCAGTTTGATAACGGTTGCTAATCGCAAGCGTGAAGAACTAAGTGAACCAAAGTTTTCGTTCGTCTCAAAAAAATAATTAGGGCCTCAGCTAAAGCTGGAGGTACCTGATGGATTTTTTTTAGAATTTGTTCTAGTAATTCGGGACGAAATGGGTTCTTTCAAAAAGGACTTTGCCCAAAATCTTAATTGTTTCTCAACTTATAAAAGTGAGTGAAAATTTTTGAGAAATTGCAATCTTTCCGTAAACATTACATTTTTCTTATAAATAAAGGAGTTGATGCTTATGCAGGAACAATTCCTACAATCGGTTCTTTCGAGTGAACCCTTCATCTCAGAGTTGATAGGATATTTTTTACGAAAAGTCAAAGTCTCTAATAAAACGATCAAGTTTCCAAAAACGGTCAACACTCCGAAATCGATTACTCTTCTGCAAAAAGAAGGTCAGGGCCGCTTTAGCAGAGGAGATTCCCATAACCGGCATGTCGATTGAACACAACCTAAAAATTGTCAGGGTAGTGTCCAAACAAACGAATATAAATCAAAAAGTTGACTTTTCCAAAATACACAGCTTTATGCTAAAAAGTATTGGGCGCAGCCTCTCCAGCAGAAGAGATTCACACATTCTGTTATTTCGATTAAACGCAAAAACTCAGATTTCGAATGGTAGCTTTTGAGAAAAACCAAGCACTTTCAAAAAACGGTTATCCAATTAAATGACTTTTCCGAACCTTGTTTTAAAAATTACCACAGTCGATTATGCAAGGGACCTTCCCACAATCCGTTATATCGATTTAACCCAAAACCTCAGATTTGGGAGGCTAGTTCGAGAAAAATTTCAAAAACCTTCAAAAATGAAAATTTTGACTTTTCCGAGGGCCATAACTTTTGGAGTTCAAAATTTGGGCGCCGCCACTTATTCAGCGGAGCTTCCCAGAACCCGTTCTTGGGAGTGAAACCAAAACCTCAGCTTCGGAAGCGTAGTTTTCTAGAAAAAATGGTAGAAAAATCAAAAACTTTTTTGCGAAGGCTATGGGTAGGTTTATGCGAATGCTATAACTTTTTGTATTAAAAAATTTAGGCGTGGCGACATATTCATCGACGTTTCTCGCAACAGTTTCTTTAGAATGAACCCAATATCTCAAATTAAGGCAGGTAGTTTCAGACTATTTGACTATTCCGAGGGCCACAAATTTTGTAGAATAAAATTTGGCGTAGCCGCTCGTGGAGAGGAGCTTCCCACAAGCCCTTCTATCGATTGAATCCAAAACCTGAGATTTGGGACAGTAATTTTTGAGAAAGAGAAAAACAGTTGGGTAAGGCAGTTGGGCAGACAGTTGGGTAAGGCAAAAAGAGAATAAGGGATTATTCAGGCACACAGAGAAGTAGGCGAGCTTTTAATTGACAAACCTGTACTGAAACCAAATGAGCCGAAAAAATTAATAAAAAAACTTTGAATCCCACCTGAAACTACAAAGATCAAGACTCGCAACCATCGATACTTGCTTACAACGCGCAAAAACATCGTGATGTAGCACTTAAGCCGACGATACTTGAGCAGACAAACGAAAGTTCGATAAGTCAACGTTCATCGGAATTTTTTTTTCGATTTGATGCATAATGGCTCGAGCCCGACCTGATGATGCAAAAGCAACCGCGTTACCTCCAGGCTAAGTGAGAAGGAACCTGGAACTTTTTAGGGTTGATAAAAAACAGCAAGTTTGATTTCTTGTCAGAAAATTTGTTTACGGGAAAAAAGTCTAGTTCCTGATTACAAGACACTTGCTCTCCCAAGTGTTAAAAAAACAATAATTGGTAAAAGAGTACCCAACTACTATGCATTGAGCACAAAACGTTCTGCAAACTCATAAATTTTTAATTTTGCAAAAATATATATTTCTATTTTAAGAAAACACTTCAGTTTTCTTTTCTTCTATATGCAGAAGGACGACATTGAACTAGGTTATCAGCTTCAAACATAGAATAACAGCTCATAAAATCAACAAAAACTAGAAGAGTCAGAGTTGATATAATTTTCCCATTGCCCTCTGTGAATTAGTCTGGAAGAACATTTTGTCGACACCAAGATAACTCTTTAAAACTACACTGGGTCTTTCCCCATTTCTCTGAGTATTTTCATCAATTCTTCTTTCCTTGCAAATTCCAAAGACTTCGATTAACTTTTAAACAAAGAGACGAAGAGGAGCTGTGCAGCAATTCAATGCAACACAAACATACCTTGAAAGATAGCAGGTAAAAAATGCGATGGAGGCCACAAAGTCAAAAAAAGAATAGAAAGTTTCGAAAAAAAATCCTAATATACAAATATTTCATACACAGTTCTAATAAGCATAAAGAATCACTTCACGAACGGCAAAAGGCGACAAAACTCTGGTAGACGCCTGTTGAGCCAAAAAACAATTGATATCATGAAATTTCAGAGGAACAAAATTTTTACTTACCACCCATCATTAAACTCACTAAATCATTAATAATATATTTTTTCTTCTCTTCAAAGGACGCAATAGAAGGAAACTAAGCCGATGTTACAAATGCCATGCCTTCGGATCATTTCTCTTTGCGCTGCGATTAGCTGTTAAGTTCAATTTTCAGCTCCAACCCCACTTCAGTTATTGGAGTTCGTAAATTTCCCTTCATTCGTTCGGTAAACACGATTGTGACGAAAACCAAACTTCATCCAAAAAATAAGAAACTGTGTCTGAAAAAAAGCATGCGAACACAAAACAACCTTTGAATTCGGTCAAGGTCACTAAAAACAGCATGGCCGAACGTTTACACAAAAAAAAACAAGACATGGATAAAGGTCACATTTTGCCATCTTTTAATTAAATTTTACCATTCTGAAGAAGAAAAAAACGGACCTATACATGTAAATTTGCTCCCGAAAGCGTAAAAATTGAACAATCCCATTTGAGCCAATATTATCCGGTTGCTACCACAGCACAGAACATTCGGGCACACGGTATTTTTTTACATGTCAGTCCCATGGTTGATCCATTCTTTTGCTACTGTCTCTACGGTCCTTCGGGATATGTTAGAAGACTATATTTATTAGGTCATCAGACTTAAAGGTGGGGTTGGGTATAGTTAGACTATATCCGTTAACTTTTTTGGCACTCTTTTCAACTTTTCTAAAAACTGATTTCTCTTGAAACAAGAGGACGCATGTAGGAAGTGCTTCACTTAAAATAACCTTTAATTCTTTGGTTTAATCGACTCGCTCACTTAAGTTCGCCATTAATCAACTCACCAGTTATTGACCCCACGCAAAATCCCGTTAGGAAAAAGCCAAGCTTGGAGTGAAGTGAAGCAATAACAGCACAAAGAAGACCGCAAACTATTGCAATTGCAGCATTAATGTAAGGCTCTAGAATGTTTTCTGAAGCGCAGAGAAGGTAGCTGAAAACAGCTCCTAGCAATCCGGCTATAAGAAAGGACGAGAATCTGTAGAAGCGATATCCAAATGAGAACAAGTAGACTGCTGTTACTAATAACACGAGAAGGAATGACCAGTGAATTAGAGACCCATCAGTTACAACTGGGAAGGAATCACATATTGTCTCGATGCTGAACTCTTCTGCCCAGGGTAGCGTTATTTTTTGTCGTGAACCGTCTTTCATCTGCACACCTGAAAATTATTAATAAATATGCAAGGAGTGGTGACAGAATTTACTAAACTCAAGGTGCATATACCAATTTATGAACATAATTATAATTACACAGCGGCGAAGCGATTCTTCGCAACAGTTCCGATACCTCACAAAAATATCATTCTAAGTTAGCAGACAAGCCACAAAGTCGAGACCGGAAGCAACAAAGCCGAAGAAATTAGTTTTCAAAATCAAAAAACTACATGTAAATAATTTTCAGAAAAAGTCTCCAGTTATCATCATTTTGAGGAATACAAAGCAAGGAACACAAAAAACGCAGTTAACAGAGGTAAAGCTGCACTTTGCAAACACGAGGTACGTATGCCATGGTCTTATGACAATCTTCAATCACTAACCAACAATACAGCAGATACAAAGATGCTATTTAGTTGCCGATGCTATGCCGGCATAAGCGCCACCTCATGAGTTGCGACTTGGATTAGACGAAAGCTAGAATTCCTAAAATGATACTACGTTCGCTAATGCATTAAAACCAAATGTTGAAATGTTGTCATAAAGCTTTCAGCTAAAAAATTTTTGAAATTTGCAGTTTTTACGCCTCATTCCTTCTGAAACATGAAGGAACACAAAATATTTTTTACAATTTGAACGACGCAAAATTTGGTAAAGAGGTCGAATTAGCATTAACCGAAACCATTTAGGCAAAAGTAAACGAGTCAATTAACAGAGGCCCCTCCCAACGATTGAAGATTCAGCTCTATCTGAAGATCATGGCAGACTTCGTCTAGTAATGAACTTCATTATGTTTTAGGTCAGTGTATCCGCCCTAGTAAAAATGTAGTGACTGAGAAAAGTTGTCCACTAGGGCATGTATGAGGGCGGCGGTTCTCAGGTATATCTCAGGAATTTTTTATTAGATGTAATAGAGTTGCAAACACAAATCATTATGAGTCAGCGAGTTTCAAACAAACTTTCTGACAATAGAATCATCTCCGAAAGTGTTTCTTGTAACTTCGTTCCGGCCATCCAACTAATGAGAAAAACAAGCAAAGTAGATAGACGATTATATAGATATACAAAAGAAGCTGCAAAAGAAAAGAGGAGGAATGCATTGGAAAGCTATTCCAAAGTGCGCTGTACTCTGCATTGTTCTGGTAGTGTACCAAAAACCGAGGCTGCATTGCCCATTTGAATTGCGATAGAAAGTCTTTGGATAAGTTGGCTGTGTCTTTTCGTTGTGAGTATCCTCGATAAGCCGTTGGCCCAATCGAATAGAAACTTTTCAGTAGACGGTCGTGCTCTGCCCTGGACTTCAAACGCAATCGGTTGGAATATGTGCGTGGGTTCTTGATATTTAGTGGTCTTTCGTTCTTCAGCCGCTATTACTGTAGACCCTGGATAGTTGAAGCTTGGTAGTATGTTACTAGAACCAGTGCATCTACTGTTGCATCCCATGCTATACTTGCAACCCCCGAACCATAGTAACGCCATCGGCTCTTTTCCCGTCCGAGCGGAAGAGGCCGACAGGCTCAAGCTGAGACAGTAGACCTGCAGAAGTGAGTGCTCGTTTCATGATGTCGTTGATACCTGAATGCCTGCGCAGTCGCCCTGAGCTCAATTTGCAGGACAGGCCATGGCGTCAGCGGCTCTCACCTTGCTGCCACAGTTGCATAAATGAGGTTCGCAGAGTGGAACTCCCAGTCGAAGCACGAAGGATATGCCTTTAGCCATGTGCCTTCTATATTTCCTTGGTATGCCAGGACTCTGGCTCTCGATGTTTCATTATTTGCATTCACCAAATTGATGCCCGCCAACTTTTCTTTCTTGATAGCTGCGAACCATTCTTTTTGTGCTGCAAGCTCCTTGATGGTTTAAAAGTTTCTTCAAATTCAGTGATAAACGTTCGAGATCTTCTTTCTGTTCTGGCAGAGTTTTTTCCAGGGCTTTCCAAGAGGTAAACCTTGGATAACGAGGTCTTCCATTTCGGCTTTTTCAATGAGTAGGCAAATTAGCCTGAAGGTCTCCAATATCTGCTCCCGGCAATGCTTTTCTTGGTTGTCTATGAAGACTAGCTCGCATTTGGAGGAGTTTATTTGGAGACCCAAATTCGCAAGACTAACGATAAGCCGTTGAAAATCGATCAGTACTACTTCAGCCTCATCTGCAATGTTGCCATCGTCAAGATACCACTCGCTCATTTCGCTAATGACTTCCTCTACAAAATTCATTAAGGCATCGCTGAAAAGAGGCGGACCTTCAGAGTCTCCTTGTTGAGCTCTTTCGCTAGAAAGGATTACTTCGTTGCTATAAAACAACCACAATTGCTTACCATACGCTGAAAGAGTAAAAGCTTACGCTTCGGGATGCATCCTCTAAGATGTTTCAAGCCGGACATCCCTTCGCAAACTATTGAAAGCATTCGACATGTCATTTTTCAAGAGAACAAGAGCAGTAGCCTAGTCTCATCTTTGGGAACCATGGCTTCAGTGTAGCTTGCTAGCCTTATTGTGCCCTTCAAGTCTCCTTCTTTGATCTTTAATTAGGCTAGCTCCGATAGATCTGGAGGCGTTTGCTTGCTTTCCACATTCTGGATGCTGGGGGCTGCTTCGGGTCTCATTAGCTTCTTTGAGTCAAACTCGTGGAATTTGGCGTTGACTCGAGCACTCAGGCACTCGGTATGCTGCTTGTTTCGGTGCGCCGAAGCAGCAGAAAGCGAAAAGCATGAGGCGCGTCCAGTTATCTTTTTCCTCAGTTTTCGCAGTAATATCGTTCAAAAGGAGGCTGATCGACTGGCTCAAATCATGGCGGGATGATTTTGATACGTGCTTCAATGTGTTCCGGTGCGATGAAAGAAAAGTGTCAATGGTGGAAGGGTTGTCGTCGTTAGAGTTGACCAGGATCGCATGCGGTAAGCAGGCCGAACCTATAGCTTTCCGTTCATCTTGTGCATATAAAACTTACCATCTTTTCTGAGCCCCGGTTTTTGCCTTCAAGCACCGCTGCTCACTACCTCCAGCTGCGTTGGAATACTGAGTAGCGATTCGTCAATAGCCCGAGCATTCATTTCCTGCGTGAGGGAACTGGAGTTATTTCCACTAAGAAAACACTGAGCGTTGACGTGAACTGGGATTTGTTGAGACAAAAACTGTACATAGTTAATGGAGCACACTCAACCAGTTCAAAGCTTCTTTTTCGCTGCCACTAGTTGAAAAAAGAAAATTAACAAAATCAGAGTTGGTAACTAACAACAGAACTACTGTCAGTTATAATTAAAATTGCTTAAAAAGAAAAATAGTGATGCCTGAAAAAATAAACTCCATGCTTGGAAGATTTTTCGCGCACTCAATCAGTTCAATGCTTCTTTTCCGTTGCGCCTAGTTCGAAAAGATGAGAACTGAAGAGAATCAGATTTGAGGAACTTACAAACTACAGAACTACTTTCAATAAAGTTAAAATTGCTGAAATAAAAAAAATATTAATTCTTGACAAAAGATATCCAGGCTTTGGAAATTAAGCCGACAAAAATAAATCGACAAGTGATAGTCCGAGAGACAATTCAACTCCAAAAAAAAAACAGTTTCTTCGCATCGAAGAAAAGCCAGGTCCGTGGGACTCGAACTCTAAACCGGCTCTTTTATCTTTTCCCCCATCTCACATATGCACCAATATGGAGATATAAAGAGGTTCTGCGAGGTCAAGTAAGAAAACCAAATATGCCTGTCATGGTCTTATCAATCCGCATTCCAACAGTGGTAACAAAAAGACAAAATGATCAAAAAAACCACCTATTAAAATTCGCAGATGGGGGAAAGGAAAGAGAGTCCCTTAACCTTAAAACTGATTTACATCTAGATCAGGTGAGATGTTGAGGTTCCACAATGAAGCAAGGTCAATTTCTTACAGGCCTTACAAAAACTTTCCGGCCGGGGATCGCACACAATTTATGTTCTGAAGTCGCGTGCTTTACCTCTAAATAAAGTTGGAAAGCACCTGAAAGATGTCGAGGTTCCAGTATAAAGTAAGATATATATACATACATAAATACACGGCAAAAAAGAAATCAAGGCCAGTCCGGGACTCGCACCACAGAACTGTCGCCTTTAAAAATCGTTTACAGAAAAAGTCTAGTTTCTGGTATCAAGTCACTTCATTTCGTGAAATAAGAAACTGAAATTTTCTGAAAAATATATTCAGACTAACATAATGGATGTGCCAGTCGGTCATATTTGGAAGTTTGACCTTGAGAGGAGCAAAAAACACTTGATTTTGGAGTGAAATTTAATTTTTCAAAATTTCGAATGGAACCTGTCATGCACGGTTTTCTCGCGAGAACTGAAAATCAGAAAAAGAAGTTAGAACAATTTCAGAACAATTGAGTCGCACACGCGGGAAAGTTGTAAGAAAAAGCAGTAGGAAATTGCTATTCGAATCGAGAGTAGAGCTGTCCCATCTGTGACAGAGACGAGAGCATTCTCTCGAATTGGATTATAACGACTGGAGTATTATTCGGAACTGGACTAGAGTGAACCTTCGGTGGAAAGGTGGACAGCTTGAGTGTCCTAATGGTTCACAAGAAAACTATTGTCTAGAGTATAAACTCGTTCTCATTGTCAAAACTATAAAACATTAGACTCATTTAGTTACGTTATTTAATTCTTGAGTTAACTACCGACTGGATTATTTCCCACTTCTTGAGCGTGCTACTATGTGAGTACAAATTTAAATTTCTAGAGTGTGTTTTTTAATTGTTATGTTGAGGTAAGGCGAGTTTTAGGTTGATCCATCTGAAATGGATCAAAGTTCCACTGTCTAACAAAAAGTAACTTAACGGATTGTTCCAACCCGGTTTTTAACGGCGTTCATGTATTTTGGGTATCTAGAGACCTAAGTATGGGGACGTTTCTAATTCTAGAGTGGGGGGATATTTTAGTAGTAGCCTTTAAGCTGTAACGGGTCGTAGTCTCATGTCACAAACGAACCGAACTGGCTCCGACCGTTCTTGAGGTAGAAAAA